ATAAAATCTCAATAAAAACTACATTGCTTGAAACACATTTCATTTAAACTCATTGCTCTGGAATGAACCAAGACATCTTGCATGGTCTCTGGTTGCTGGTTTTAACATGGAGCGTCATGCGGGCCAAAGCGGTGCCATTCTGAGCTCGGCTGTGGCCATGCAATTGGAAAAACCATCACTGGGCATGCGCACCAACCCTGCCCCCGCCCCGCCAAAGTGTCAGCCACACTTTGAACTACGAGGGCTTTGGGATTGCATCAAGACCTCTGCTTACGGGGTGTTTAAGGAATTGGATAGCAAGCAAATGGATAGGCAGGCGCGTAAGAAAATCTCTATTGCCTAATAGTATTATTGTTATGCAATAATTCAAGACTTCCATAGTATTCCTTTTCTTGACCAATGATTAAAAGCCGGTGGAGGGAATCCGGGGCTGTGAGCCATATGCATTTCCAACATCTTTCCAGTGCTTCTCCTGAACCCTACCCTTCCCCGGTCTGCAATATCAAAATGGGAAAGTAAAATGCCCACATTTAGCAACATGGGTTTTTGCAGTTCCTCCAATACATTATTAAAAGGCAAACGAGGTATAGGAAGCCTTTGACAAGCTTGAGAAATTTATTTTCATTTTGGAGGTATTATTATTATGATCGGCGTTAGGTGCGATAACAGAAGGTTGTAGAAAGATATTGCCTAAATCTGGAACCTCTTAAAATGGCCCACATGTAAACAACAACAGTAATTGTTACTAGATGTGACTTTTATGATTCCCAAGTCTCAGGGTGAGTTTGAATCCTAAAGCAGAAAATTAGACAATATTGACCCATGATTGGTGAAATTGGAAATAAGAAAAACTCGTCTGCCTCGTTCAGGTTCTTAGGAAGGTCTTGATAGGTAGATAAAAGTGCCAAATCCAGTCTAAAGATCTGGTTGACTGTGTGATGAGCCATAATAATAATATATTTTACTATACATTATGGCAGAAACTGGTTATGGTGGTCCCAGTGGTTATTTGGTACACTGGGGCCACACCCAAAAAACCTTGGGTGGTGCTTAGAAAATCTGTGTGCTTGATAAACATTTGATAAATAAATAAATAAAATAAAATTTCCTTCTATTAACTAAAAAAGGCCATGCTGTTTTGATCCATGTACATAACTATATGATCTATTACAGGTAGTCCTTTACTTACAACAGTTCATTCAAAGTTACAATGGCACTGAAAAAAAGAGACTTATGATCATTTTTCACACTTACGACCATTTCAGTAACCCTGTCGTTATATGAACAAAATTCGGAGGCTTGGCAACTGACTCATCATATTTATGACAGCTGCAGTGTCCATGTGATCACCTCTTGTGACCTTCTGACAAGCAAAGTCAATGGGGAAGCCAGATTCACTTAACAACCGTGTGACTAACTTAACAGCTGCAGCAATTCACTTAACAACTGTGGCAGAAAAGGTCATAAAATGTGGCAAAATTAGCAAATGTTTCACTTAGCGACAAAAAAAATTGGGGTTCAGTTGTGGTCGTAAGTCAAGGACTACCTGTATGAGATTCTTAGTTCTTGGGAAGAATTCGAAGTGTATGAAGACCAACCCCAGCTAAACAACTGGCAGTCGTGATTTTGCATCTTGTGTACATACATGACCCCAAACAAGCAGATGAACTAGAAAGAAGTGGGATATTTTAACTGTCTCCTACACTGCTGTTAGAAAAAGGATGTGATGATTTAAAGAGGAGAAGGCAGAGGTTGTATTCAACAGGTTCTGACCAGTTCTGGAGAACTGGTAGCAGAAATTTTGAGTAGTTTGGAGAACTACTCTTGAGTAGTTTACCACCTCTGACTGGCCCCGCCCCCATCTATTCTCTGCCTCCCGAGTCCCAGCTGATTGGCTGGGTTTTCTTTTGTTGCCCTGCACAGGAGAATGGAGCTGGAAAGCAGGTTAGTGGGGTGGGGAGGGAATGGCGATTTTACAGTATCCTTCCCCTGCCACACCTACCAAGCCACGTCCATCAAGCCACACCCACAGAACCAATAGTAAAAAGAAGTTTTGAATCCCAACACTGGTAGAAGGAAAACAGAATCAAAGTAGAGTTATGATGACATTTGCTTCAAGGAGAAGCACTTGGAAGGTGGCTTCCAAGCAGAAGACATGGCCCTGTTGTCTTCTGTAGTGGTATTGTCTCTGCTAAACTTCTGGTATTTTTCCCAAGTTGATAGAATAGAATAGAATAGAATAGAATAGAATAGAATAGAATAGAATAGAATAATTTCTTTATTGGTCAAGTGTGATTGGACACACAAGGAATTTGTCTCTGGTGCATAAACTCTCAATCAATTTGCCTGACGAGTCACTGTAAACTATTTATTTTTAATTTGCTTTAAAACTGGAAACTGGGGGTGGTTGTGATTTATGGCTGTGCGCTCAGGTGAGTACAGAAAAATAATCCTGTTTTGTCCACATCTAGTATGTCGGAATAAAAACTCAGCTACACTGTTCTAACATTTTATATTTTTCTAGATAGGGGCATTTGCTTAATTGGGTCCATTTTACATTGGTGGCAATTATGTCCATTCAAGATCCAGGTATTTGCATGACCAGATTGAATTTGCTGTCAGAAGTTGCATTTCTATCAGGATTTGTGATTCAACAAATATTAAAAATAGTCCTTGACTTACAAACCATTTGTTTAGTGACCATTTGAAGTTACAAGGGCACTATAAAATAATGAGTTATGACCTGTCCTCGTATTTATGACCATCACAGCATGCCGATGGTCACGTGGTCATAATTCAGGCACTTGGCAAAGGCAGGTATTTGTGACAGTTGCAGTGTCCAGGGGCTACATGTGTTCACCATCTGCAACCAAACTCAATGGAGGAACCCGGGTTCACTTAATGACTGCTTGATTCACTTAATGACTACAGTGATTCGCATTAATAATTCTGGTCCCAATTCTAGTCGTAAGTTGAGGACTACCTGTTATTCTATACAGTATCTGCCTCCACAGCACTTCACAGAAATATCCCCGTAAACAACTCAATTGAATGCAAACTGCGATAACATCTTTCCGAAGATCCCCACGTAGAGACCTCATATATGATCCCTCCAATCCTTACATTCTTTCATTTTCAAAAATCTGGATTCCTGAAAAATGTTTTTGGCATTTGTATTTACCTACGTTTTCTTTTCCATCTCCAGAGAACAAACTCTGGTATCTCCTTGACTTAACTCAGGGGTGTCAAGCTCGATTTCATTGAGGGCCGCATCAGGGTTGTTTTGACCTCGGAGGGCTGGGGTAGGTGGGTGGTTGGGGGCCAAGGTGGGCATGGCACAGGACTCGTGTCTGGGGCTCCTGTGGTGGCCAACTGCTAAGGCAGGATTTCCTGAGACCCTCCCTCACATTATAATCTCCCTTGCTTGGTTGCTTGGTTGCTTGGTTGCTTGGTTGCTTGGTTGCTTGGTTCCTTCCTTCCTTCCTTCCTTCCTTCCTTCCTTCCTTCCTTCCTTCCTTCCTTCCTTCCTTCCTTCCTTCCTTCCTTCCTTCTTTCCTTTTCTTCTTTTTCATTTCCTCTTCATTCTCTTTTCTTCTTCCTTCCCCCCCTTTCCTTATTTTTCCTTCCTTGCTCTCTTCCCATCTTCCCTTCTTTTTCTTTCCTCTTTCCCTTTCTCCTTTCCTGTCCCTTCTTGCATACTCAAATTTAGTTTGTTTTGATAGCCCTCTGCCAATGAAAACGGAGCCCGGGGGGGCACACGTGGCACCCTGCGTCCCATTTT